TTAATGATGTCACTCCTAATTAATGGTTTGGGATCTTATACTAATATGTAAGTAATCAGGTGCTAATAAAATTTGACCAACTAAAATGCTTACCGCAGTTAAACCAAGTCAGCATATCCTTTGTTCAAAGCCTTGCATGTCATTTATTTTCACCTGTACTTGCTGAGTACCACCCACACCCCAGACTATAGTAGCACCTGCTCAGAAGATTGATAAAGGTGCCATGTAGTTTTCTAGAAGACCGTTAGAAGTGCTTGGCATACGGAGTCCCTAGTCAATCTTTCTGTGTGGAGTGGAGTTCAGCTACAAGTTTAGAGTTTCCGTTTGTGCTCTTTTGTAAGACCTTCGTGTCTTCTATGTAATAATATTTCGAGTTATGTAATAAACATTGTTTTGATGTACAATGATGAAGTGGATCACTATATGTATGAAATTGATCCTGCCATACATATAGTTAGCATTCAATTTTGTCCTTAAAATCGGATGTGACATGTATCAAAAGCAACTAGAGTTCAATTGGATTTTGGATTATCCAAATTTATTGCCACCTCTAGTGTTAGCAATTTATGAGCCTAAAAGCACGCCAAGCCATCCAAACGTGGCCTATGCGACCACATACTTTCTATTTTAGCACGTGTGCTAGTCGCCCTAGCGACGTGCGCGTTCTGTTTCCGGCACCGTTTCCTTTTTCATTCAGAACCATTATGTATGCACTTTCTATTTTTGAGGCCGTTTCCTTTTCCGTGAGAGCGAGCGTGGAGGGAGGACGCGCGAGAGGGCATGGGGCGCGAGTGCTGTGTTGCGGCTATGCAAGTTGTATACAAACTTTAAAATATGATAACTTTCTTGGAAAACATTTATTTTTAATTCTGTTTGCACCATTACGTAGATCTATAAAAGTAGACCATGTTAGATATGTTTTGAAACAAATTTACATGATTATAAAGTTTTGCGCCTAGGAGTATAAAGTTTAAAATGTGGTAGTACAAAGTTCGAAAACTTGGAGTGCAAAGTTTCGATTACAAAGTTCCATTTTAGGTGTACAAAATTTATAGCAAGCAGTGCAAAGTTTGAAATGAGCTAGTATAAAGTTCCTGAATTTAGGTGTAGAGTTTTAAAATCCCAAAGTTTTGAACCTAACCGTACAAATTTTATAATGTGATAGTTCAAGGATTTGACCTAGCATTACAAAGTTTGTAATGTGTTAGTTAAAAGTTTATAAATTATGGCCCCATTCGCTTGTCTGGAAAAAAGAAGCCAGAACACTATACCGGCTGGTTGTGTGAGAGAGAAATACTGTAGCGGCTGAAAGATATACTGTAGCATGTGAGGAAAAACAGCCGGAGCAGCCGGCTGGTCTGAAATTTTCAGACCAGCCGAACGCCACCTATGAGTGTAAAGTTTCGAACCTACCGGTACAAAATTTGTAATGTGGTAGTTCAAAATTTAAAGTGCAACCTTTTAATTATAAAGTTTTGGGGTTAGACGTACAAAATTTATAGCATGAATTTATAGCATGCTAGTAAAATATTACAGTGTACTAGTAGAAGGATATTAAATTTAAGGTGTGAAGTTAAGAATTAAAAAGTTTTGGATGATGTAGTACAATGTTTTAAATGTGCGAATACAAAGTTTCTGAATTACAATACAAAGTTTGAAAACGAAGTTGTAGGGTCAGAATACAAATTTCATAATATAGTAGTACAAAGTTTATAATATATATAGTAGTACAAAGTTTAAGGTTAATAGTAAGTTTTAAAATTAGCTATACAAAATTTATAGTAGAAAAATAAAGTTTTAAATTGGCTAACAAAAAAATTAAATTTAACTAATGAACTGATGGTCTGTGAGGAAGAAAAAGATACATATTGAAATAAAAGAGACGGCTTGCTGCGTAGCCTGTGCTACTAGTTGGATCGGATGCCTAGTCCATTAATTGTTACGCATGCTAGCGCACTAAGGGCATGTTTGTTTCGTAAGCTCCTAAAATTCCTGCCATATTAAATGTTTGACATATGTATGGAGTATTAAATATAGATTAATTATGAAACTAATTGCATAACTTGCGACTAATTTGCGAGACGAATCTTTTAAGCCTAATTAGTCTATGATTTGACAACGTGGTGCTACAGTAAGCATGTGTTAATGATGGATTAATTAGACTAAAAAAATTCATCTCGTAAATTAGCCTCTATCTATGTAATTGGTTTTGTAATTAATCTATATTTAATGCTCTTTATTAGTATCTAAACATTCGATGTGATATGAATTTTAGGAGCAACTAAAAAATCAAACACCTCCTCTTAAGGCCTTGTTTGTATGTTGTTGAATTTACCGCAATCCACTTGGGTTGGAGTGGTTTAGGGTAAAATTTAATTCAAGTTTCACTCAAATATATTCAACAGATGCGAATCCGACTGCATCGAAAACAAGGTCAAACTGCGTACGTTACGCGCGCATGCCTGATGATCCACACGCTAAAAGCGTTCCCGAGCATGCCACTGTCCATAGGACGCACGCGCGCCGAGCAAGAGGGTCGGTCGTCGGCGAGTTGCCGTTCGTCGGCGTGCTCCTCTCAAGACTGCAGGTCGTCTGCACCCCACAGCAAGAATGTCCAATTCAACATGCATCTTTGTCTATCTGCTCGCACTGTGGGCTGCGGCGTATGCGGTACGTTCGCTCTTCCTTAGTGTCACGTCGGTTTCGGCGAAGAAAAAAGATCAGTAGCTCCGTCCGGAGAGGTAACCATCACAGTGATACCGACTGAACGCGGTTTATTTTTCTCTGCGTCCAGGTCTACAGCTGGCCCATTACTACCTGACGTGCTTGAACCGGTAATGATCTGGTTTCATTGTTGATCCGTAAGTCCAGAGTCCGGACGTAGGCACCGCCATTGATCTTGTGCCATCTTCCACGGTCAGATCATCATGTGCCAAAGGTCATGGCCAGCCGAGGGGATCTTGATGGCTTGCGCTGGTCTTGCTGCACATCTGCCTCCAAGCCATCCAATTGGACGACGACGCTGCCGTAGCAGTGGCCAGGGTGCAGTAGTGTTGCGCCGCTCTTGCCATCATGGTTTTTGAACCGTTGAACAGATTTGTAGTATGCAGCGGGTGCTCAGGCGCAAGTCTTTGCTCGACGTAGACGACGATGGCGCTGGTCCGCACGGCGAGGGGCGTGGAAGATGAAGTTGAAGGCGACGTGGATTGTGGAGGCAGAAGTCGCTGCCGTGGAAGTACAGGAGAATTGAATCTTCTCCGCAAAAGCAAGCAGCGTTGCGTAGGCTGACCGCTGCCGCAAGTTGCAAGCGTATATAAAGTGGTGCATTTTATGGGTGGGGGGAAGCAAGAGAGATTGGCCTGTCGACACTTCAGTAGTACTTTTAAGTGAACGAACAGTGCTTTTCTCTCATAATAAATCAGCATAAGTTAAATTTCAGAGAAATGAACATGGTTGAATAGTGAATAATGGATTGATTGGACGCTTTAGGATGCCCGGCTTTGAGTGGATGTACGCGAATATGGTGCACTAAAGGATGACGTAGCTTCACGAGAAGTTAGAGAAATAGATAGTCGATAATGATATGATTAAGACACCTGGATGAGCGGACGCTTCCACCGCTCACTCCTGCAGCGCTCGCGCCCCTCCGTGTCCCGCGCCCACACACGACGATGTGGCCATCGCTGCTTCCCTGGCCGGCGACGGCTCCTTCTTCCACCCCTAGCGTCCTCCTCCCCCACCATGGTGGCTCCTTCCCCCACCCCAGCGTCCTCCTTCCCCCACCCCGGCGGCTCCTTCCCCACCCCGGAGGCCTCCTCCCCCACCCCAGCATCCTCACCGACTGCGAGCGTTCAATGCACCGCGGATCCGGTGGCCCTCTCCCCCATCCCAGCGAGATCCAAGCAAGCCGCTGACTCTCACCTAACCCAGACGGCGGCGCCCTCCCCAGATCCGGCAGGTCTCCTCTCCCTCGGCGACAGCGGGCATGGCAGGCGCGCACCATCCAGTGAGCCTGCGCCACCGCAGTTGCTCACCATGTAGGTCATGGCCACGCGGCGATGCTGTGTTTCAAATGTTTCTTGACGCTTTTCAGATATGTTGCAAGCCCATGTTTCAAGTGTTTGAGTTGTTTTAGATTTATGTTTCAATTGTTTCATGCGGATGTTGCAAAAGTGGATCGAGATGTTGCATATGTTGCAATGGTTGTTTACGTATGTTTCAAGCGTCTATCTCCAATGTTTCATCTGCTTTTATACACATATATATGTTGCAAGTGTTTCAGACGCATGTCTCAAGTGTTTCATCTGTCTTCTTTTTGTGTGTTGCAAGTGTTGCATCTGGATGTTTCAAAAGTACATCGGGATGTTTGCACATGTTGCAATGCGTTTCAACTGTATGTTCCAAATGTTTCATCTGTTTTAGATGAATGTTGCAAAGGTTGCATCTGGATGTTGCAAAAATGGATCGAGGTGTTGCATAGCGTGGCCGGTGTCTATCGCTGTGCGGGGCGCGAGTCCCTGCGACGGACGTGGGCGCAGGTGCTGGGGGGGGATGCGGGACGCTGAGCGTGAGGCGGGATGCGGACACGGGAGCGGCACAAGTGTTGGAGCCGCGTCCGGACGCGACGTCCTGTCCGGACGTCCGGGCGCTAGGGGTACCGATAGATAGTGGGGATCTCTTATTTAGGTATAGGAGATATGAGATAACTTTTGTACACAAGAGTCGAGATTAATAACAGTAACTTTTTGTGCACAAGTGTTGAGATTATTAACAATACATGATACAAATACATGTATTGATACAAATACATGGTACACAAGATAGTAGTCGTGTACACAACTACATACATTAATAATTAATACATACTTACATTACTTGCTGAAGCAGCACATTCAATGCCACAAAATAGTCTGATGTCTATCCTGCAACTTGTGGCGATACACGAAGGACCGGGTGCAGAAGAACAGTCTTGGGGCCTGCATCCAAACTTATTTGCTCTGTCAGGTCGAGCATGTCTGGCGTGACACCAGGTGGGAGGTGCCAGTCGAAGTGGTAGAGAAGTGTGGCAAGTACAAGTTCGATGTGTGCATGAGCAAACACAATGCCCGGACAAACCCTTCGCCCAGCCCCAAAGGGGATGAAACCGTACCTTTGAAATCAACAGCTGAAGCATCGAAACGCTCTGGCTTGAAAACTTGAGGCTCATCAACCCAGTAACTTTGGTCCCTACCAATAGCCCACGAGTTAACAAAAACCATTGTACCCCTAGGCACATCATATCCAAGAATCTTACAAGACTCTTGGCACTCTTTTGGGATTGGCAGAGGAGGCGCTGGGTGCAACCTTAGCGTTTCCTTGATGACGTTCTTTAAGTACTTGAGGTCAATTAAGTCATTTTCAGTTACCTTTGCTTTACCCCGCAAGACGTGGCGTACCTCCAATTCGGCTTTCTGCAAAACTCTTGGATTCCTCATGAGCTCCAACATAGCCCACTGGATCACTGATGATGTGGCTGTACTTCCAGCAACAAAGATGTCCTGTAATTAATAAGATCGATGTTAGATTTTTATTACATTCTCATATATCATGGATGATTTTAGAGTGCATGGGACTGCTTGGGAGGTACTCACAAGAATAACGGCTTTGATGGAAGCAGTGGTGAGAGAGCTGGCTGGGTCGTCTTCCTTGTGAATATTGAGAAGCACATCTAGCAAATCAGGAGTCTGCTTGGTGGTGTCACTGTCAGCAACTGCGGCCTCCATCTTTCGCTCCTCATGTTGGTGGATAGCTCGGTCGACAAGATCAAACAGCTTAGCATTGTACTGCTTTGCCTCAGCCACGGTACCACTGAGGGCACGCATCACGCGAGAAGACGGGAAAAGGTCTGCGATCCTAAACCCCGTTGCTTTCTTATATGTCATGGCTACGGTGTCCAAGAACTCATCCCGCCACCGGAACTGGTCTCCCATGATGGCTCGCAGAGCAGAGTCGCTGACGAGCCTAGCTACACACTCACTGAGGTCCACAAGCCCGCCGCCGCCGCCAGGCAGCAGCGCCTGTGACTGCTGTGATCTAGCAACGATGTCGCTGACCAGACGTGCAGCCTCATCCTCGCGTATCGGGCGGAAAGAGCGCACACGATTCGTGCTGAGAAGCTCAACATTGCAGATCTTACGGAACTCACGCCATACGGCGCCGTAGGGCAGGAAGAAGAGCCCCAGCTTGTCACCGATCGTTGCTTTCACGGTTAGGCTCATCGCCCGTGTAGCAAAGGTGACATCGTGCGTCTTGAGGACCTCCCTCGCGGCCTCTGCAGAGGAGATGACAACAAGGCTCAACTCCCAAAGACGCAGATGCATGACGGGGGCGTTGCACTGCTGTGCTAGATTGGCCATGATGCGGTGGACGGGCTGTCCTCGTTTCATGAGGACGTGGTGGAGGCTACCGATTATTGGTAGTTGCCATGGCCCTGGAGGCAACCTTATTTGGTCCTCCTTCTTCCTACCCATCCTAGAGTAGTACAATAACTTGAGGGACAATAGCAAGGGGGCAAGAAGAAGTAATGTGAACAAGCAGTACGATGAGCTGCTTGGGAAAATTTCCATGGTCGGTGTTCTCTCACACTCGCAGGCTCTCGCAGTCGCAGCTGCTGCACAGGCAACTACCACCGCTGCAAGTCCTATGAAACGTTATATGCTGTATATATTATCATCCCGTGCAACATACACACACACACACATGGGTCTAATTTGACCCACTTTAATTTCTTATAGTGGTACGGTCAAACTAACACTACTGAAATAAGGAATCTGGTAGGAATCTGTTACTTTCATTGGAGGAACTCCCGGTTCCTACGTCTTTCTTTACACCTAAATAAAGTATACAAAACTACTGGAAACTCGAATTGTTCTGTGGGTGATGAATTTTTCTGTGCGTTTTTTTTGGTACGCACATAAAAATTTTGTGGGTTTTAAAATATCCCGACACAAAAATACGAAAACCCACAGAATAATTGTATGATTTTTCTGTGCGTGACAATACACACAGAAAAAATCAGCACCCACAGAAAAATAAAACTTCTTCTGTCGGTTCTTTAAAAACACACAGAAAAAATATATACACGCACAAAAAAATATTATTATTGTGTCGGTTATTTTAAAACGCACATAAAAAACCAAGAAGTGCTAACCCTAACCTGCCGCGGACTCGCCCGCTCGGCTCCTCACGCACGCACGCTCCCCTCCCTCCCCTTCTTCTTCCCCGCCGCACCCTCCCCTCCCCTCCTCCCGCGGAATGAGACCGCCCAACTTCACAGCATACGACTGCACCTGCAGTCAGCGTAATCAGCACCGTCCGCTGCTGATCCAACGTCTCCACGTATAGGCTAAGCACTCTGGCTGCCGTGCTCCTCTGCTACATGGGCCTTGGCCCAAGAATAACACCGCCACTCCCGTATTTGGCGGCGTTTTTCCTTTTTTGGCGCGAATACTGCGTGCTTTCCCGCTAGCGAAGGTGAAGCGTCGGCGTCGGCGTCGGCGTCGGCCATCGGCTTTCTTGCAAGCACGGGCGTCAGGCGTCGGCGATCGGCTGTTGCCTGTGTTGTGCGCCAAAAATATGTTTGCAGGTTTGCACCGCTTCTCTCCTCTCCACGTGTGTTTGATTGCATCAGTTTTCTTCTAATTTATTTGCTATCCTCTACTACCTCAGCTTATGTTGGAATTGATTAAAGAAGAAATGTCAACTTGCTTTCAGAATATATGAGATGGAAGAAAAGAGGTGTGTGACCCATGCCTGTTTCTTTCTCCCCATGCGTTCAGACACATTTCAGTTGCTTATTGAATATTTCGTGTGCTATAGGGATGAGTTTTCTTCAAATTTCGCACCTCAAGTTGGCATGGAATTCAACAGTACACATGAGGCTTGGTTGTTTTGGGTCAACTATGGTGGTCAAAAAGGTTTTGAGGTTAGAAAAAGATACTCAAACAAAAGAAAATCAGATGGAAAGATTAGGTCGTGCAGATTTGTTTGTGCGAATGAGGGTCACAGATTGAAAGATAAAAGAGATCATTTAATAAAGTCTCCGAGAGCTGAAACTAGAACTGATTGTGAAGTTCGCATGGGTCTCGTACTAGACCGGGAGAAAGGAAATTATAAAGTCACTGAGGTGATTTTGGAACACAATCACACCCTTCAGTTGCCACAAACCTCACATTTGTTGGTGTCTCAAAGGAAAATTTCAGAGCTACAAGGTCTTGAAATTGAGATGGCTGACGATGCAGGAATTGGACCCAAAGCTGCACATGAGTTGGCTTCTATCCAAGTTGGTGGCTCAGCTCATCTCCGTTACACTCTTCGAGACCACAAGAACTATTTAAGGGCCAAGCGCCAACGTGAGATGGCATATGGTCAAGCTGGAAGCATGCTTATGTATTTTCAAGAAAAAATTGCCAAGAACCCGTCATTCCAATATGCATTGCAAATGGACCGGGAAGAACAAATAGCTAACATTTTCTGGGTTGATGCTAAAATGCTCACTGACTATGCATATTTTGGTGATGTTGTTAGTTTTGATACTACTTTTGAAACAAACAGGGAGAGTAGGCCTTTTGGAATATTTGTTGGGTTCAATCATTTTAGAGAAACTGTGATTTTTGGTGCTGTTCTCATGTACGATGAGACATTTGAGTCCTTCAAATGGCTATTTGAGACCTTTCTAAAAGCACATAATGGCAAGCAACCAAAAACAATCTATACCGATCAAGATGCAGCAATGGGAAAGGCTGTTAAGGAGGTCTTTTTAGAATCTTGGCATGGTCTATGCACTTTTCACATTATGCAGAACGCTGTCAAGCATCTTGCTGAACGTGACGATGAAGAATTAGATACTCCTCCAAAAAGAAAGAATGAAGACAATAAGGAAGAACCAAGTATTCTCGTAGATTTTAGTGCATGTATGCATGAGTATGAAGATGAAGAAACATTTCAAGAAGCATTTAACACTATGAGGACAAAGGCCAGCAAGCAAACTTGGTTGGATAGTATATATAAGGTAAGAGAAAAGTGGGCTGCATGTTATATGACTAATGTGTACACATTAGGAATGAGGAGTACACAATTGAGTGAGAGTCTAAACAGTGACTTGAAGAGACATTTCAAATCAGATTTTGATATCATTCGATTCCTTAAGCATTTTGAAAGGGTTGTGGAATTTAAAAGAAATAATGAATTGCATGCTGAATTTGAATCAAGAAAGAAATTACCGAGACTCAAAATGAGGACACCTATGTTACTCCAAGCTAGCAAGCTGTACACATCAATTATTTTTGAAGCTTTCCAATCTGAATATGAGAGGTCCATGGCAGCATGCACCACGCCATTGGAAGGCAATAATGAATATGTTGTAGCAGTTGGGAGTCTTGATGAAAATTGTATCATTGAGAAGGAGTACAAAGTTACTGGTGATCCTGCAGACCAAACAAGCACATGCAACTGTGGGCAGTTCAATAGAATCGGAATATTATGTGCTCATGCTTTAAAAGTTCTTGATTTAATGAACATCAAGTTAATCCCGGAACAATATATACTGAAGCGTTGGACTCGAGAAGCACGCAGTGGGGCTGTACAAGACAACCAAGGCCGAAACATAATAGAGGATCCAAAATTAGATGCTATGCTTTGCTACAAAAATATGACTCGCAAATTCCTCAATTTGGCACACCAAGCTGCAAGTCATCCACGGTGCGTCCTATTAGTCAACGAGGCACTTGACATGGTTAGCAAGCAAGTCGAAGAAGAAATCATGAGTCTTCCTAGTGCAGTGAATCCAACCAATGTTCCCACAAATGATTCTCCCCCAATTGATTTGTTGAGTACAGCAAGCCTAAAGAAAAGGCACGTGGAAACTAAAACCTCAAAGCGCAAAAAAGCTTGGTTTGAAAAGATGCGCAGAGTTGCAAAGAAAAAGGAAAATGATCCAAAGGTATGTGGTAACACAAAATATATCAGATTTCCTAATACTGTGTTTAATGGGCACATATTCAGTTTTATTTCTTTTATTTGAAGGAACAAGAAACTGCAAAGAAGGGAGGTAAGAAAAAGAAAAAAGAAGATGCAGTACAAGAAACAACATCAATACAAGACACTGCAGCAGTACAAAATATTTATCCTAGTACTTCTTTACCCATGAATGAAATGCCTGAACCATACATGACCATCAATACCTTCTCTCAGATATTGAAGGTGATATTTCAATCTAATACACCATTTTTCTAAACCATACATGGCCATCAATACATTCCTCATTTGTTTTTTTAAATCTTTTATTTTACAGGGGGCAATCAAAGATGATGTTATTGCTGACTTCTAGTAGTTTAGGAGAATAGCTTTTGAAAAATAGTCTCCTGAAACATAGATTGTTTAGGAGAATAGCTTTTGGAATAGCCTCCTGAAACATTTCTGCATCTCTGAACATTCTGGAGCTTGCATCTCTGAACGAACAGACCATTTTGTGCATCACTGAACTTGCAACAATCAGTTACTTTTTCTTGAATTCCAGGACAATTTACAACACAATGGCAATCTATACAATTTGCATGATTTTTTGTGCTTTTGATACAATCACAAGTTACATAGTATTCAACACAAGGTGCTTAGCTACATTCCAAAAGTGATCAGGCAAAATCACTCAAAAGTGATCAGGCAAAATCTCTTGGACAGTGAGAGACTGGAGCATCCCGATACCCATCGCCCAGCCCTCTCTGGATCGCCTAAGGGCCTTTGTCTCTGCCATGTTCCGGAATACTTGGTAGAAGTAGTAGTAGACACCGACAGTAACAACACAAAAATTCAGGCTAAATCACCGGCAAGGATCAGGCAAAATCACTCAAAAATTCAGACAAGGAAGGGGAAAGAGGAAGGATGCGGACCAGGTACAACTGGCGAGCGGCGCCGTCCTTGAACGCCAGCTTCGAGGGGTCACGCTCCATCTGCTACCGCGCGTTCACCTACGCCAACAAAAACCTCAAAATTTCAGCAACCGAGAAATCCAGAGGCGAAGGTCGGCAACGAGGCGTCGTCGCCCACGTCACGATGTGGAGCGGGTAGATAAGGAGCTGGGCGATGATCCGCGCCGCCCACACCGGGCGAGTCGTTGATCAGCGCGTCGACATCTCCGCCCGCTCGTAGGAGACCAAAACGAGGATGGCACGTGACGGGCGGACGGCGACGGGCGGCGCAGCTCGACTAGAACTACGAAGACGGCGACGTTGATTTTTCTTTATTCACGGGAGCTCTCAGCAACAGCAGGTCTGTGTGGGCTGTGATGGGCCTTTCCATTGTGCAGCCCATGTCATTTTGGTGGGTGTGTCGTCGGATCAGCAACGAATGGCACAGATGTGCTCGACCGCAGTGCGGTCGTTTTCACCGGGTTAGGTGATCTCGTTCCCCTCCGCACCCGCACCCGTCCCATCCTCCGCCGGATCCCGCCCTCCCTTCTTCCTCGGCGCGGCGGTGCCGCCCCCTCGCTCCCCCTCCCCTACCTTCTTCCCGAGATCCGCCGTGCTTAGCCTGAACACATATATAATGGTGTACCAACCCTAGCGCTTCG